TGAATCAATTCCAGGTAATACCATTTGTAGCAGCAGCCAGGAGTGAACAGAACAGGTAGTGGGCCATTTGTTCACAGTATGTGAAGTGTCCCAAAGAGAGAAAAGGATCCTGGGGACTGGTTTTCAGGCTGAAGAAGTATCAACTGTCAAATGATCAGGAACTCGTTCATTCACTGAGCATTCCTGAGCCCTCCTGTGTGTGAGACTCTCTTCTAGGCACTGGGGTAGAGTGGAAGACAAGACAGGCAAGGTCTTGCCCTCAGGGCGCTTCCACTCTGGTGGTGGTGGGCAGGCAGGCAACAGAAGGATCATTTAAAAAGCCAGAGAGTTGGGCCGGCCCGGTGGCACAAGCGGTTAAGTGCGCATGCTCTGCCGCGACGGCCTGGAGTTCGCCAGTTTGGATCTCGGGCGCACACCGATGCACGGCTTGGCAAGCCGTGCTGCGGCGGCATCCCTTATAAAGTGGAGGAAGATGGGCACGGATGTTAGCCCAGGGCCAGTCTTCCTCAGCAAAAAAAAAGAGGAGGGTTGGCAGATGTTAACACAGGGCTGATCTTCCTCTCACACACACACACACACACACACACACACACACACACAAAAGCCACTGCTGCCTCATGCAGAGAATGAAAAGAGGGTGACGGAGTAGAGTGAATAAATCACTACTTTAGATGGAAATGGTCAGGGAAGGCCTCTCTGATGAGGTGCCCTTTAAATAGAGAGCTCAATGTCAAGTAGCCATGAAAAGACCCAGCATCCATATGCAATGAGTTCATCTTGTTTGAGGAAATGTACAGGCCCAGGGGATGGAGCTCTGAGGGCAAGACCCTCAAAGAGAGTGATTCTAGATGAGGCTGACGGGTCAGGCAAGGGCCAGACCCCAGATGCTGGGGCCAGAGCAAGGAGTCTGGACTTTATTCTAAGGCCAATGGGGAGCTGATTGAAAGTTTTTAGCAAAACAGTCACAAAATCTGACATATTTTAAGTGTCCTTCTACCTGCTGTGTGGAAATGGATGGTAGGGGAGTGGGAGGGAAAGCGAGAACAGTGGAAGCTATTGCAGTTGCCCGGGGAAGGAAGATGGCAGCTCGCATGAGGGTAGGCACAGTGGGCTGGGGAGAAGGGGACAGAGTCAGGATACGTTTGGAAGTAGAGTCGGTGGGATGGGTTGATGGATTTGATGTGGAAGGTGAGGAGGAAGGAGAAATCAAGGAAATCCCAGTGCAGTGTGAGTCGTGATTAAATTTACCTCAGACTCAGAGAACTAGATAATGGCAGGTGGAGAAAGTCTTTCCTCAGTCTAGTACCTAGAGAAGTAGTGTGTGTGTGTTTGTGTGTGTGTGTGTGTGTGTGTGTGTGGGTATACTATCAGAACTATGGAGAACACTTTATTATTTACGAATAATGTGTGTATATGAATGACTGTGTCTGTCTGTGATGCTCTGTAACAGGACATCAAATAGAATTTTTCCTGTTTTCATGGAATTGTGCTAAGGGTCAAAGCTGAGGACAAAGTTTAGAGAGCCACCAGCAGTTGAGGCTAGCTACCTCCTTCTTTAACTAATGACAAATTGGCCTGCTATAGTTTGAATGTTTCCATCCTTCCAAAATTCACATGTTGAAATGCTAACCCACAGGTGATGGTATTAGGAGATGGGGCTTTGGGAAGCGATTAGATCACGAGGGCAGAGCCCTCATGAATGGGAGTACTGTCCTTATAAAAGCTGCCTGAGAAAGCTCCCTTGCCCCTTCCACCACGTGGGGTTACAGTGAGAAGACAGCTGTTCATGAACCAGGAAGCAGGCTCTCACCAGACACTGAATCTGTAGGTGCCTTAGTCTTGGTCTTCCCAGCCCCCATAAGTGTGAGAAATAAATTTCTGTTTATAAACCACCCAGTCTGTGGTATTCTGTTATAGCAGCCTGAATGGACTAAGACATGGCCTACCAAATAATTCGTGCATATGACTCCTCCCTGTCATGTAAAACGAGGACTGTGAAGGGCAAGTGTTGTAGAGAGGGCACAGCTTCTGAACAAGGCTCGCCTTCCTCTGCCCACACCACCTGTAAACCTGAACGTGTCTGCCCGTTAGGGAGACTGGCCTCTTGCTACTCAGTTGAACATCTATTTAGATAGAAGAAATTTTGAAGGTACATATTTTAAAACTCAACAGTTTTTAAAATACCAGACATGATCCAAAATATAATGAAAACAAAAATTGTATTCTTACTAGCATCAGGAAAACAAAAACTCCTGGAAATAACCCTTATGAGAAATTTGTGGAATCTATATTCTAAAAAAAGTACATAGACTTCACAAATGTTCAGCAGTATATAAGGATTTTTAATCACTTTTTGAATTTACCTACTAAGTAGTCTATAGAGATAATTCTTTCCACTTAATATAGGGGTTAAAAATGTCTAATTCCAATCCCAGAAGGGTTTCCTTTGCAATCTGACAAAATAATTTTAAAGTTTAACTGGAAAAATAAACAATTGGAACTAGAGAAGAAAAGGAAGCACGGTTGCGGACTCTCCCTATGAGATGTTAGTTATAAAACGAAGTGTTAAATAAAAAGTTGGACAGACTCTAGAATTCACAGATAAATCATTGGGTGCGATAGCCATGAAAGAGACACGCAAATTTAACATTTCATAATTATAAGCCCACATGACAGATGGGTTTTCTTATCAAAAAAGGATTGAGAGAATCATCCATTTCTTTTAGAAACAAAACCTAGCTGTAGTTTTACCCATGCCATGCACTGAAATAAATTGTAGTGCAATAAAGAGATGGATATAAACACAGTATGAAACCATGCCAGGATATTTTTTAAGGCTATTAAAATAAAATACAGAAAAACATATCCTAACCTTGGATTGGAAAAAATTTAAACCCCAAAAAAAAACATTGAAAGAAACCACACAGGAGAAACAGAACTGACTACATAAAGTTGTCTATATAAAAAAAAATATATAATATCATATATGTGATATATAATATATAATAGATATATAATATCACAATATCATATAAATAATATAATATATGTATAACATCATAAAGCAGATTAAAGGCAATTGGCAACTGGATGGAAACATTTTACAATGTGCTTCCTACATAATATGACGTTTTACTAATCAATTACTCTTTATAGTTCATTAGAACACAAGAAAAGGACACAAATAGACAATTCACAAGGGAAGAAAGATAAATGGCTAATAAACATTTTTTAATGTCTAACTTCAGCAGTAATCAAAGGCACGCAAGTTAAACAACAATATAATGCCATTTTCACCTTCTTCGACTTGTAAATATTAAAAAGTTTATAATCCTCAGTGATGTTAAAGCGTTGATCATGACATAAGTACTCTCATACGTAGCTGCTAACCTGTACTTTGGTGCATTTCTGGAAAGGATTTGATATGAAATTGAAAGTGTTATAAAATTTCTTAGGCCACCATCCCCCTACTCCTACCCCCAAATTATTAAGATGAGCACTTAGCATTGCCAACTTTAAACATATTTCCAGCTAAATTCTTGCAGTCTGGCTGTGTACTGTACAACTTTTAAGTTTTAATGAATCATTTGACCATTTCTCAGCATAGGCTCCATGTTCTTTTTTAAAGAAAACATTGGCACTCCCTTCAGTAATCTTTGAGAGTTGGGGAAATCTATCCACCAGTTTTCTATCTTTTATCAAAGAGTGTTCATTCAACCTGATGAGCTATTAAAATCTTGGAGTCCTCCCTTTTTGGCCATGGAATCTTTGGATCCTCTTTTCTCCAAAATGCACATATTCAGGCAAAAACACCTTGTGTCCCCACAGGCCTTTTACCCAATTTGGGGCAGGGGATTAGAATAAAACTCCTAGAGTAGTGGTTCTTGAATTGTAGCACGAAGTGAATCACTGGAAAGAGTTGATAAAACAAATTGGTGGTCCCTATCCCAGTTTCAGATTCGATACAGCTGGGTCAGGCCTGAGAACTTGCATTTGTAACGTTGCCAGGTGATGCTGATGCTACTGAAGAACCACTGGCTGAGAGGAAATTATTCCTAAAGTGAACAGGACAAGTAGTCATTTGATGTTTTTTTGGAAGGGGCGGGCGAAAGTGTGAATTAAAAAAATTAATTTATGATGGGATGGTTTTAATACTATTTCAACCGTGGATGAGAGACATTTTGGTGCTATCCTAAGACCCCAGCCAGAATCTGATAGTCACTTACTACTTTTAACATGAGACCAGTTCACAGTTTCTCAGCTAGACTTTATTTTTCTCAACAGCAAGTTCCCATCTTGAATGTTTCTTGAATTCCCCATAGTTATTTGTACAAGTAAATGCTCAATAGAGATTTGCTAATTGAACTGAATTCATAAAACAACAAACTCTGAGAAGAAAGATCCTGTAAAAGTTCTGGGCCCATAACCACAGCTACAATTTAGGATTTAGTGCTTAGGTCCATTGAGGAATGTCACTAAATCCCTATCTTTCCATTATCCCAGTTGTAGCTGAGGATAAGCTGAATAAACTTTGAGGTTGAAGATTTTAATGACTGAAGCTCCTCTAAAATTCTCTGGATGGGCTCTACTTCAGGATGCCAATAATAACGGTAGATAATCATGGGACAAAGATGATATTATTCAGTTCATCCAGACCCTTAGTGAAGTTGCGGGGAAATGGGAGAGGGTGTGAGAGACTCAAATAAAGGAACTAGCTCTTACTGGAAAACAATTTTTAAAAACCAACATTTCTCATGTATCTGCTTCGGAGGTTTCTTTTTTTTAAATGGAAGATTTCTTGGAATGAGCTGTTGGGGTTGGGTATTGAATGTTCTTTGTCTTGTTCTCTTTTTATGTATTTATTTGGTTATATATGTATTTATTTTCATCCCAGAGACCTCAGGCAATATCCTCTTTTGCCCTGATAAAGCTGAGATTTTGCTCTCTTTCCAGTTATAATAACAGTGATGGTTAAGTCGTTTATAGCACTTACTGATCACCTGGCACTGTCCTGAGTATTTTGCAAGTGCTAATTCATTTAACTCATAACAGTCCTATGAGATGAATATTCTTATGACCTGTTTCATAGATAAGGAATCGGAAGCACAGCAAGATTCAGCAGCTTGTCCAAGGTCACAGAGCTGGGTGGTGATACAGCTGATTCACACAGGTCAGCCTCTAACCACAATGGGGGACAGGACAACCTGGAGGCTTTTGAGTCAAACTACACATGGTCCAATCTATAGACCTCTCTGGGTCGCATTTTCCACAGCTGTAAAAATCAGAACCCTAATAATTCCTTCATAGGTTTAATAAAGTAAAAGATAACGTATGAGCAAACAAGTACAGTAGTTCCCTGAGCATGGAGGGCACTCAGCATATATGAAATTCTGTCTTTAATGAAAAGAACTCCTCAGAACAAGGAGAGTCTGTTCTCTCTGGTACCTGTATATCTGTGTGTTCCGTCCTCATCCTCAGAGCCCAGTGGCTGGAGATGAGAACAGCACGAACGTGATCCTAACTCTCATGTCCCACGCTCTGCATGTTTGAGAGAGTTGTCACTCACACCCACGCATATTTTAAATGAGTCTCTAAAATTGTCCCTGAAGGAGACAAGAGGGAAGCTCTCACCCAAGCTGAATGTTCTGAGACTTTTCTGTGGTAGTGAGGCAGGGTGATCTTTTTAAGTATTACCTCCCCCAGGCCTCACTGAAGCAAACCCAAAAACCTTTTAAGCTCTTTATAGGCTGCAAACAGAGAAGTATAAGGCATAAAGATTCAGATGCGCGCTTCCAGCTGAGTTTCCGCCATCCCCCAGCAACCCCCAAACAAGAGCAGCCTTGGTGAACTCCAAGCTGAGATGGGGCGTGGGCGCCCGGGGCCACCGACCAGCAGTACACCGTTGAGTGCCCCGGGCCCTGGGCCCTGGGCCCTGCCTGCGGCCCCTCCCTGAGGCCGTGCCTCTGGACGCGTGCCTTCCACTGACCCGGAGCCCTGCAGACCTTGAGTGAGGATGTGGAGGGAAAACCTTGCTCCCTGCAGACCTTGAATGAGGATGTGGAGGGAAAACCTTGCTCTCTGACGGACGGAAGAGGACAAACCTGTTGGAAATCGGTGTGCCATCCAGGGAGGCTCTGGGCAAAGCATCACTGCTGCACTTCCCACTGAGGAGCCACCGAGGAGCCAGGTGAAAGGCACGGTGTGTAGAACACTGCACCCGACAGTCAGCCAGGCCTCTGCTGGGCCCGCCTGCATCACCATTGTAATCAGAGCTGATGCTGCCTGGGGCAATATTCTGAGTATTGCATGAATGTACTCATTTACTCTTCACAGTGGCCCTTAGGATCTCTTACTCTGAGGCAACAATTTAATTCACTTGCTCACTTCCCACAGCCAGTAGTCCTCTCTTCCCACACCCCTCTTCTGTTGCCAGTCTTGAACGGCTTCCCACTGCTCTCTGGAGGAAACTCAGTCTCCATCACAGGCTACTGACAAGCTCCTTCAAGATCTAGCTCCTGCGCACCTCTCCAGGGTGAGTACTTCTTTACCCCTTCTCATTCCACACTCAGGTCATGACAAATTGCCTTCAGATTTTCAAATGTATTATATTCTCTGTTGCCTCAGGACCTTTGCACATGTTTCCTCTGCCTGGAACCATCCCTTTCTCCCCTCCTTGTGCCAGGATAATCACTACTCAGACTTTGGGGTAAACTTAGACCCAGCTTTCTCCACGAATACAAGTGGGTAGTTACCGCCCACTGCTTTCTATATAGTACACTCTTTTTTGCTTATCACACAACACTTGACTTTACTGTATTGACTGATGTAACTCTTGGTTTCCCGCCCTAGACTATGCAGCCAGACTTTGTCCACAGAACACGGAGCTTGCCATCGAATGAGGGATCAATAAATTTTTGTGTGTGTGTGTGTGAGGAAGATCAGCCCTGAGCTAACATCCATGCCAATCCTCCTCTTTTTGCTGAGGAAAACCGGCCCTGAGCTAACATCTATTGCCAATCTCCTCCTTTTTTCCCCCCTTTTCTCCCCAAAGTCCCAGTAGATAGTTATATGTCGTAGATGCACATCCTTCTAGTTGCTGTATGTGGGACGCTGCCTCAGCATGGCCGGACAAGTGGTGCATCGGTGCGCACCCGGGATCCGAACCCAGGCCGCCAGTAGCAGAGCACATGCACTTAACTGCTAAGCCACGGGGCCGGCCCCAATAAATATTTTTTGATGAATGAAAGATTGACTTTCTTTTGCTTTGCTGTCTCATCCACACTACTGTCCCACCCCTAAAATTCCTATTGATAATTATCATCATCAGTATGACTTAATTAATCCTTTGCTATCTCCATCCTTGCCTAGCAAGAGCAAAAGTCCTTCTATATCAAAATCCTTAGTTCAAAAGGAGTTATAACACCAAACAATGAAAGGAAAGCAGTCAAAAGAAATGGCCTTCCTTTAAGTTTTCTTTTTTTTTGCTATTCTCCTGTTTCCTTCGAAGCCACTGACACATGCCTAACCCTGGTCTTTCTGTAACCTCACAGCTCCGGAAACCACACATCTTGTGCTTTGGGTCTCATGTGTCACTCATGCTCAGAGGCAGGGTAAGAATGGAAAAAGCATTGGTTTCAGGGTAAAACAAACTCAGGCCATATTCCCAGCACAAGCACTCCTAGATATATGAATTTGTGCATGATGTTAAATCTCTCAGGGCCTCGATGTCCTCCTCTCTGAAATGGGGATGCTAACATCTACTTCATGGAGTGGTTACGAGGCTTCAACGAAATAATAAATGTCAGGTGTCTGGCTAAGGGCCACACATGTAGCAAACAGTTGCTGATGCCCATTGTCTTCTTGCTCTTCTTTCTTTGCTCTTATGCTGTGGGATTTTGGTCCAGGAATCTTATGGTGTCTGTGGAGGAATTAGTAACCTGGACTTCAGTGGACCTGTGAGCACTCTGAAATTATATGTGGAGTTACATATGTCCATAAGGGCTTTTATTTCTAAAGAGAGTATCTGTATTCGTTTTCTGGGGCTGCCTTAACAAAGTATCACAAACTTGGCTCAGACAACAGAAATTAATTACCTCACAGATCTGGAGGCTAGACACCCAAAGTCAAGGTATTTGCAGGGTTGGTTCCCTCTGTGGCCTCTGGGGGAGAATCTGTTCCCAGCCTCTCTCTGAGCATTCCCACTGTGTCTTCACATTGTCTGCCTCTGTATGTGTCTGTCTCTGTGCCCAGATTTCCCCTTTATATGAATAAGGACATCAGTTGTATTGGATTAGGGCCTACCCTAATGACCTCGTCTTAAACTTGATCATCTGCAAAGACCCTATTTCCAAATAAGATCACATTCACAGGTACTAGGGGTGAGGATTCTAATATATATTGTTGGAGGGGACATGATTCCACCCATAACAATATCCATAGCTTTCATGGGCTTCTTAAAGGAGTCTGTAGCCCTTCCAAAGACTAAGAACTAGCGGCTAGAAAATCTGCTTTATGGCTTATTCTATATCAACCCAATCAGCAAGTCTGACGTGCCAGGGTGTGTCTCGAGGGCCAAATCATGGAGAAAAACCAAGGTGATTTTGATGGGGTTTTTAGGCATGTGCTAACGGACAGAGGGTACAGAAACTCTCTTTTCACTCCAGACTTGATTCTAGTTGGCAACCATTGCTGTTTGGTTAAAATCCTGACGGCTGTGCTAAAAATTTCTTAAGTCCCACACTCATAAAGTTTACAATCCAGTGGGTGAAATGTTTTTTATCAAATAACACAAATGAATGTCTAATTATAAATTAAGATTAGTGCTAGAATAGAAAGAAACATGATTCTACAAAAGCATATAATTAAGGAATTTGTCTTGGCCTGGATTGAACAAGGAAGGCTTCACTGAGGAAATGATGCTTCATCTGAGATTGGAAAGACCAGTTAAAGTGCACTTAAGGGAAAGAGCATTCCAGGCAGAGGAACAGCATCAACAAAGGCCCTGTTGTAGGAGGGAACATTGTGCATTAGAGGAACTAAAAGAAAGCCGGTGAGGCTGGAGTAGAGATTTGGATGTAGGAGGGTGAGAGGATGGTGTGAGATGAGGCTGATGGGCACTTGGGCATTGTGCAGAATCTGGGATCTTATCCTAGGAGAAATGAGAACCATTGGAAGGCTTCTCCATCTTACTCAACCTGTATGTCAACTCTTAGCCCCTACCCCTCTTGACCTCTTGAAATTCTTGATTCTTGATTTTTGAGAGATAATACTTTATTCTGGTACATTCCTGTTACTCTGGCTATGGCTTTTCAATGTCATTTTTCTCTGTCTGCTCCTTAGATGTTGCTTTCTGCTCTCTCCCTGAGTGATCTCATCCTGTTGCATGGTTTCAGCTACCACCCTTCTGCAGATGCCTCCAAAACTTTCTCCCTGGGCTGCATTTGCCTTTTATCATCTGCTTACACAATAAATACTGCACAATTTTGGTCACACGAATATCCATATGCTCTGCTTGCACCGTGTTGTGTAACTGTATGGGTAACGTCTGTTTAGAGGATGTTACCAAATCCATATCATTTGGATATTAATATGGATTTGCCACAGGACAAAAGAGAATGAATTGCCTTTAGGGAGACTTGAATAGTAACTGCTAGGGTGCTCTCGGCAAGGCCTCCCCAGTCAGCAGTGGAAACAGTTGACAGATAGTTTGCCCCTGTGCTCTCTCCTGACATACAAAACACATGCTTTGAGTTTGCTGAGGTTTCTGCTCATCTTCCCTGAGGGACCCTGACTCAGGGTTACAGTCATCCTCTGCTTACGTCCATGTGGGCATACAGCATCACCCTAGCTGAGATGGCATGGGAGGAAGCCAGCAGTTTAATGCATCTGAAGGTCACTGTGGCGAGGTCTACGTGAGTACTGAAAATCCGACTTAATTGGAAATCTTGGTGGGTCTGATGCTCAGGGAGTGATGCTTCTAAGGTACCTACTGTGGAAGATAAACAGGAGGAACTGGGGAAGAAAAGGTGAGAGAGAGGGAAGAGAGGAGGGAGGGAGAAAAAGACTCAAACTAATATTTACTGAACACTGCACGATTTACTTTCACAGATATATTTTATTTGATCCTCACAAACAGCCTGGCAAGGTAGGTATTTTTTATCTTAATGTTTAGAGGCTCAAAACTGTGAAATGGGTGTCCTGAAATAAAGACTAATAATTTGTCAGACGAGTTGGGAATCAATCGTCTTTCTTTTCTTTTGTAGTTGATGTTCTTTCAACTGTACCACAAAGCCTAGGTCATGGATTTGGTGAATTAACCAGAATGTCTGAGTCACACTGGTTTCTGACACTCCCACGAGGATTCAGCTCCCATTGAGTTCTCTGCGTTCTTTCCTCAAGACACCTTACCCTGAACCTATACATTAAGTTGAACCAACTCAGCCAGAAACCCAAACCACATGGCTGACAGCAAGTAGCAGCAAGCCAGATACCCAGCAGTTCAACGGAGGCAATGACCTTGTCCTGTCCCCTAAATTTCTCCTATTTTATGGCAGTTCTTCCCGGCTTTTAGTCTAGGTTTTTGAACTGATTTGGCTCAGTTCATACTCTTTGACACTTGAACTTATTTTTTACTGGCTTTAACTCAGTACTAATTAAGAATTTGCCTCCTGAGCCACTCTTTGGTCATTAGACTTATTTTAGGTCCTTAAATGCTTCATGACCCTACCTGAAAGCAAAATTCTCATAGTTGTCTACCTGGCTGGTACTCCACATGCTCCAGTGCTGAACTTTGCTAGGGCAGGAGAGAGCTCAGAGAGCACTATGTAGGGAGGAATCTTCTAAGGGCCTTTGGGCTCTTCCAATGACAGCCTCCTTAAATAGGTTGTACCCGCCGCATAACAGGAATGCTAGGTTAAGGAATTTGCAGGGAAGTTTGTCTAGCAAGAACTATCTGCTCTAGTCATCATTAATGGAGTGTGTTACGCAAATGCTCAATTGCTGGTACATAGGGTAAATTCCTTTCTACTCAACTCACTTAGCCATTCTGTCCTTGAGGACTCCAAAAGGTTTTGTATAAACCTCCAGTAACAATCATTCTCCAAGAGTGAGTTCCTGTGTTGGGTTATTCCAATATACGTGTCTCTACTTCCGGATTTTTTTTTCCACAACGCCCAGAATTTTGCCTCCATTACCTGTGCGCTGTGAATTCTTGGAGGGGTTTACATTCTCATAGTTACCTCCAGCCATGACTTCCAGACACTGTTGAATCATTCTCTGCTCCTCACTTGCTGTGATTCCTTATTATCCACATTTTGGTACTGACTGAGACATGGATCCAACTCTTTTCCATTATTTCCACAAACAAACAAATTATTCAAGGTCTTTACTGCAATGTTAGGCAGATAGAAGGAGTTTACAGACAGCAGAGACTGCATCTTAAGATGGAACATGAAAACTTAGTCTTTTGGAAATTGCCCCACGCTGCTTGTCCATCTCCTTCAATAATTCCCTCTCCTGTCTTGTTTCCTTTCCTGGTTCCCCGATGCCTGTCTTTCTCTGATTGTCAGCAGTTGAGCTCTCTTTGCTGTTTCTTTCATAACTAATGCTGTCACTGACTCAGCTGCTATCCCAAGTGGTTGTCAAGGTATTTTGCTAAATTAAGGCAGTTGTTTCCTTAAGAGCCGGAGACTAAGATGATAATTGTTTTTAACAGAATATACACACAGAGCATTTTTTGTTACTAGAGGAGTCGGTACACCCACGTGGATGTAAACACAAACCTACCAAATGGCAGCTCTCTTACTCAACTCTGCAGATGTTTTTGCCTTTTAAGAGATATACTCCATTCTGAGCATTCACAGGCTTCTCAGCAGAAGCATATTTAAGTCACTCCGTGTCTCCCCCCAAGCAGCATGAGGGGAAGCTCGGGGCAAATGTGCAGCAGCCCCAGGACCTGCCCCGGACAGACTCTGGGACACTCTCTGCACGAGAGTCTCACATCTGGGCTTCAGTGATGAACAAGAAAATGCCCCGGCTCTCGAAACTTCACTGTCATCCTGGACCCTAAAAATGGAGCAGGGGAGTATGTGAATTCCTTTGCCTGACAAGCAAAACCAAGACAATGAGTTATTAAGATGATCTTTTTGTAACCCTCTACACCAATATTCAAGCCATTCTGTGTCTCTGGAGACTCAGTGGAACCCAGTCAGCGGGAGTGACGAACCTGGAGTGTGAAGGCAGGAAGAGCAGTGGCCAGTTTATTTTGGTCACTGTAAGTAATAAACACATGCAGGCTTTAGGAGGCCTACGTGTCACTTCAACATTGGTGGTTTATGCCTCTCAGTGTTTAAGTTTCTCAACTTAAAATTTTTCTCTCTTGAGCATTTTGAGAAATTTGATCTTTATGATTGACGTGCTGCTGTATCTTTCTGAATTATGATGATTTCCAAGTCTACCCCGCCCTGTACTCTGAACTCCTTTAAGTGTTAATAAATGTAGATTGAATGAATGATTGAATAGATGAATGTGAGAGAGAGGAAGGAAAAGGGGGAAAAAAGAGACAGAGAGAAGCAAACAGGAGACAGAGCCAGGAGAGAGAGAAAGAGTTCATCTGAGTAATTCTTTTACTTAAAACAACATTGTCTAGAATAATCAGTATCACCCAAGAAAAATGTGATACTTAAGGGAACACTCAACCCATCAGTAATGAAAAACAGCTATTATATTCAGGATGCTACACCACATCATAAAGCAGCTCGGTGTATATCTTATTAAGATCATTTGATTAATAACAGAAATAACTTTTCTGGTTAAATCTAGGAAAAAAGTATAAGGAGAATCTTAGAAACAAATATCAAAATTTGCTATGCATTCAAGGCCTATGCCCATATGTATTATTTTTTGTGGGGAAAGGGAAAAATATGATTCTGGATCATGCTACTTCCCATTTCCATGACAACACCCCCTTAAAGTTCTCACAGTACAGTAATATTGTTTTAAACCTTCATCGATCAAACACTGTTTTATCTAAAACTAAACTAGAAAATATTTAAGAAGAAAAAAGCCAAGTGGTGGTTTTATCCTCATCATTTTCTTTTCCTTTTTTCCCCTTCTTTCTTCAAAACTACCAATCAGCATAAGTACAAAAGAACCACTACCTAACCACAGGGTTTAATTCAAGGAAGACAGAAATTTCAGCTTATAAACCCCAAAATGATGAAGCCAGTGATTCAATAAAGAAAAGGAAAATAACATTCTCGTGGAGAAAAAGTTACTTTTTTATGAGGAATCAGTTTTCAATTTAAGCTGCTCTGAAGCCTTGATAGTGGCCAAGAAGACTGGTTTCCCAGGCAGCTTCCAGAAGAGCAGTTGTTAGGCACTTTCTCGTTCTTCTCTGCTCTGAAGTTGTACCTGGTGTAGACACAACCAAAGTGAGGCCTGTGGCTGGTCTGGAACTGTGTGAGCTCAGCCCTCTTTGAGCTGAGACATGAACTGAGAGAGAGGCATGGCTGGGGCCTTTCCTCTTAAGGCACACAAGTTGCTGACTGACATGTGCGCGGCTCTCTCTTTGGCTCTGTCTTACGCACATATTAGGGCAGATAAAAGCAGTATTTAGGACGTCAGAGGACACCGAAGAGATACAGGTTGTCAAATCTCATGGAGGCATATTACTAAGCTTTCGTTTCTGAATAGTGATGATAGCAACAATTTCAGCAGCAAGTACCATTTCTGGAGCTTTACTTTGACTTGGATATTTTGCCAAGTCTTACACGCACCATTATATTCAATGATCCTCATTGTATAAGGAAAGCACTATTATTATCACAGTCTGTCATACAGAAGAGAAACCTGAGGCTTACACATGCGCAAGTTCAATAGGGCGTTGCCACGGCAGGGCTGTGGGATGGAGTCAGGCTGTCTGCTTAAAAAACCTATGTTTTTAACTGCTATGCGATATCATGTATTTATTAAAGAGAAACATTTTTTTAAAATCAGGTGTGAACATATAAATTTGTGATCCATAACACTTAAAGTTTTTCCCACTGTTTTTTGAGTTATGCTCTGCCTTAGAGTTATCAACACAGGCTGCCAAGAATGGCTGTCCAGCTACATTTTCAGTCCTATTTGTAGCCACTCCTCATCCTTTGCTACAACCACCCTCAACTGTTTGTACTCGCAGAATACAATTTGTGTCTTTGTTTAAACTGCACCATCTGCCTTAAATGTCCTTCTTCTCCTTTTCCAGCAGCCCAAATCCTGCTCACTCCTTAGAGGGAGCTCAATAGTAATAGTACCTTCACTCAGTAGCTGGGAAATGGCAGGAAGTTGAAGTATGGTTGTTGGATTGCATTGTGAACCCAACGTGTTTTAGTGAAATTGATACTGGTTTGAGTGAAGTTGTACTGTTCAGGGAGTCCTAGTGTTTGCCACGTGAGGGAGGGCAGACAATTCTGATTTTCTGCATCCACTGTGATTCTCCAAGAACAGAAGAGGATTTCTCCCTAGAACAGGGAGAGGCAGGCCTGCAAAAGCTGCAGTGGTGCAATTCCTTCATATTCAAGAGGAAGTTTAACCAAGAGGGAGGCTTGTGTGTTCTTACATGTAAATGGGAAAAGTGCTATGTCCAACAGGTCTTTGATCCCTCATGAAATTGTTTATACTCTGCTCCTCGTTTTGCATTTTAGGCTTATTAGAATTACCTCATATGCCTTTTGCATGGAAAAGTAATAAGCATATATATGCATTTGTTTTTTTTCAGTTGTGTTGTTGGTTATCACATTAGGCACCTTCTGTGCAGTAATAAACAATCCCTCAAATCCCAGTGACTTAAACAAAAAACATGTACCGGTCACTCACATTTACACGTTAGCAGCTGCTCATCATCTAGGCAGTTCTGCTCTGTCAGTCTCCTCATTCTAGGCATTAGGCTGAGAGAGCAGGCCTTACTGTTCTGTGGCAGAGGGAAAAGGGGAAGAGAACGGTGAAAACAGTCAATGGCTTTTAAAACTTCCACTTGGGAGTGGGGTATGCCACATACACTCAACCTACCATTGACCAAATCAAGTCACACGGCCACGCCCAATGGCAGTGGAGCATGAAGGTTTCTCTCTCCCAGTGAAGGCTCTGCCAGTCAAATTTCAGAGGGTGGCGATATATAATCCTCTTAAAAGAAGGGCAAGCGAGTTGTTGTTAATGGTGATACAGCCTGCCAAAGCTACTTATATTATTTATAATATGTGTGATGTCTATTGCTGATTGCTGCAGACTTAATTATGTCCCTTCAAAATTCATATGTTGAAGTCCTAACCTCTAGCACCTATAAATGTGACTGTATTTTGAGATAGAGTCTTTAAAACGATAATTAAGGTTAAATGAGTTCATTGGGGTGGTCCCTAATCCAATATGACTGGTGTCCTTATAAAAGAGGAGATTAGGACATAGACACACATGGAAGGAAGGCCATGTGAAGACACAGAGAACACAGCCATCTACCAGCCAACGAGAGAGGACCTAGAATGAAACCAACCTCTCCAACACCTTGATCTTGGACATTTGGCCTCCAGAACTGTGAGAAAACAAATTTCTGTTGTCAAAGCCACCCACACTACGGTACTTTGTTATAGCATCCCTTGAAAACTAATACATTGATGAACAAATTAGCAGATTTAATGACATTGATATTTCCACTCTTTATTTTATTCAACTAACTTCTATAATAATAATAATTCCTAACAAATATTAAGCATTTACTATGTGTTAAGTACAGTACTAAACATTCTACATACATTATCTATTTTATTCTCTCAAGATAATTCTATGATATAGGTACTAATAGTATCCATATTTTGTGTATGAGAAAATGTTATATATATGGCTTGGAGGGTTTGAGAAACTTGCACAAGTTTATCCCCAAGTGGAGAGCTGTGATCTGATCCTAGGTCATCTGATTGCAGAACCAGCTTCCTGCTACTGCTGTCAAGGGACGTTAGGATATTTCATAGTATTTATTAATCTCAAGAAAGTTACGGGAATATAAAAACGAGTGAGCCATGATGCCTCTCCTGAGGAGTTCGCAATCCAGTTAACAAAACAAGAGAAGAAATAACTATAATCAGGATAAGATAAATGTCATGTAAAAGGCCCTTCCCAGAACTATTATTTATAACTTGGATGAAGAAATTGATGGCACGATAATAAATGTTGCTGATGATGCAGCTGGAAGGGGCAGCATATTCCTTGGATAATAGACTCAAAAGTCTAAAAAGAAGATAAAACCATCTTGTCAGGGTGGAACGGTTGGCCAAATCTAAAGAAATGATGTACAATGAATAAATAAAATGAACTTCTCCTAAGTCCAAAAAACAGCTAGATGAGAACAACAAAACATGAACGTGGACTGTTATGTGAACAAAGAGTATTTTAGTTTTATTAGTCAGCCGTGTCACTCACTGTGATAAGTTATTCAGCAAACATTTATAGAGTGCCTGCTCTGTGTCAGGCACTGTGCTTGGAGCCAGAGATAGAAAGATGAGGAAGGGGAAGTTTACACCCTCAAGGTGCCCCCCCTCAGTCCAGTAGAGACATAGAGACGTAAGTACATCATTATAAAAGAATCTGATAGATGCTTTTAAATACAGAAGAGAGAGTAAATAACCCTTTATAAGGCCAGGGGAGGAGGGTAGGGAAGACATTTGAAGTTACAATGGGAAGAAGGAGCTTACAGGGGCCGGCAAGGTAGTGCAGCAGTTAAGTGTGCGCTCTGCTGTGGTGGCCTGGGGTTTGCAGTTTCGGATCCCGGGCGCGCACTTGTCAAGCCACGCTGTGGTGGCGTCCCATATAAAGTGGAGGAAGATGGGCATGGATGTTAGCCCAGGGCCAATCTTCCTTGGCAAAAAGAGGAGGAATGGCATTGGATGTTAGCTCAGGGCTGATCTTCCCCACAAAAAAAAAAAAAAAAGAAGGAGCTTACAGAGAAGGAAGTTCATGAAAATCTAGGAGGAAAAACCAGTAAGTGAAAAGTCAACAGTATGAAAAAGCTCAGGTCTGTTTGGAATGGCTGAAACATACGTTTAATCATGGGCAGAGGCATATGATGGGGCTGAAAAATTGGGCTGGGGCTGAGTTTTGACTGTGCTGTCAATGCTACAAAGTTTGACCTTTCTCTAGTATGTAACAACAGGGTAATGGAAATTTCTAGAGTAGCAACACGACAACATTAGATTTTTTGGAAGATGACTATTGTAAGCGATGTAGAAACAAGATGAAGGTGGAGAGAACAGTTTCAGAGAGCAGCTAAGTGGTGGTTGTAGTCCTCCAATTAAGGGAAGTTGAAGCCTGACTGAAGCCTGTTCCACTAATATTCCTACTAATGTAACGGGAGTGGGTCTCTCCACTGTCCCGCCTCAAAGTGAAGTTTTGAGCCATTTTTGTTTTTTTTCCCAATACCACCCAAGTTCGAGTGCTGGTTCCTTCTAGACCACCACAGTCCCTTCAGATGTCCAGGGCTCCACTCTCTTTTAAGGAGCCTTAAAAAGTTCTAGGCTATTAAAAAGAAATAGAGTTGAAATGGGCTAAGGAAAATCTCAGGATATACATGGGTGACACTCCCACTGGGATATACATGGGTCGGGGGTGAGGCGCAAGCAACTTTCAGTGGAAGACCTTCATGACAGCCATGCTCCTGGGCAGGATGACATGCAGTGCTCTGTTGAATGGTGACGGACAGCTCTCAGCATCGGCTGGGCTCCATTGCCTGTCCCTGGATTGGCCATAATGGTCTTTCTTTAGGCAGAGACTGGGTTCTTTCTAAATATGATCTCTGCTCTTCTCCATGTGATTCCTCCCAGGTGGTCCAGAAGGTCACCCTGACCTTCATCCTTGTCAGGTTCTCTATCTTCCTATCGACTCTGGAAAACTGAGGTCTTTATTATTGTTATTATTATTATAATCATTATTTTCTATGGTGAGGAAGACTGGCCCTGAGCTAACATGTGTGCCTATCTTCCTCCATTTTCATATATGTGAGACACTGCCACAGTATGGCTTGGTGAGTGGTGCACTGGTCCGTGCCTAGGATTCGAACCTGAGAACTCCAGGGTGCCGAAGCGGAGTGTGCAAACTTAACCACTATGCCACCAGGCTGGCCCCTTAAGTTATTATTTATAGGCTAATTTTATACCTTCATTTTTCAAATCTTTGACTTTCAGTTTTCAAAAATTATTCTCAAAAAGCTTGGTTTTTATAAATTAAGTGCATTCAAAACTATCATCTTTTATGTGGACTTCAAAAAAAATTGACTGTTTTTCTTTGAATTCAAGCTAAATCAATCTGAAACTCCCCTCCTCCTATTCCCCTTAAACTAAATGGTATCTCTAACAGTCTGCATCCCTATATAGGGACATGCATAATAAGGTACGGAAAAGAAAAGCATATTAATTATTTTTTCAAAATATAATCTTATTAAAATAATTGTTTTTATTTTTTTGTGTGTGAGGAAGATCAGCCCTGAGCTAATATCTCATGCCAATCCTCCTCTTTTTGCTGAGGAAGACTGGCCCTGAGCTAACATCCGTGCCCATCTTCCTCCACTTTATACGGGACGCCGCCACAGCATGGCCTGACAAGCGGTGCGTCAGTGCGCGCACGGAATCCGGGCCTGTGAACCCCGGGCTGCCGAAGCGGAGTGCGCGCACTTAACCTCTTGCGCCACCGGGCTGGCCCCAAAATAACTGTTTTTAAATCCAGCTAAAATGTATGAAATCCTAGGAAAATAAAGCTCCTAAGATTGACTCAAGAAGAACCAGAAAATAGAATAGGCTAATATCCATAGGAAAAAAAAGGAAAAGGATGTCAAAGTACTAAACTATCTCACAACAAGGATGTCAAGTTTTATGTGTGAGGGCTTGAAGGATCATATATAATTCCCATAATTTTAAAAATATTGCCCCTAAGCATTGGTTTTCAAAATATCTGTGCACAAGAATCACCTGAGGAGTTTAGTAAACATATAGACTCCGGTCTCCCCACCTCATCTTCTCTGTGAGACTTCGATTCAGTAGTTATGAGATGGGACCCAGGAATCTGAATTTTAAACAAACAAATGCTTGATGCTATCCTTTGAGACACCTGTTTAAAGCCGTGGTCTTTAATATGAAGTCTGCATGAAAAATCCAATACGGCAAGGGGGAAAAATAGAACTTTTGTTTGTGTTTATTTTTTTCCTAACAAAAGAAAGAAATTTTACTTTAATAGTATTTTTTTTACTGATTAACCTGGCCCCTACTCTGAGTCGGTGTGTTAGGTGGCCCAGCCACACTCACAGTCCAGCAGAGAAAGGTTTTGAAGAAACGGGTGCCACGTGGTGCCCTCACTGTTGTGTTTTCCCTTACACACAGCACTGCAGTTTTCCTGAGTTACAACACATAGTTGTCACTAAATAAACCCCTGCAAAATGGATAAGCGGCATGATCACATTCCTGAATAGAAGCCACAGACTGAAGAGAGCATGCCTAATATGATACTGTTCCTACTGGTAGTTCAAAGGAAAGCCTTCATCAATCACATTATGAGGCAAAAATGAAGATGATTTCATCAGATATGAAAAACATCTGCCCAAATAATGTTAAATGATCAAAATTGTTACTGGAAACTAGGGACCTACATACAGTATTGACA